GATGTGGGTTTAAGGGAACCATTTGGACCATAAAATAACTCCTTTGTGTGTTTGTCAAGGTGGTGAACTTCCAGGAATTTCCTAAAGTTATTGGGCAGAAGTTTTAAATCTTAAGATTCCTGATGTTTTCATGTCAAGGAATCAAACTTTCTTGATCAAAAAGTTTTCAGACTTCCTAAAGGTATTTGGCCATTTTCCTTTCATCAATATTCTGGAGGATTTTTAAGGCCTTTTCCCACCTGATAGTTTGGTAAAATCCAAAATTATCTTTTGTGATTCTCTCTCTCTGCTCTGAGTCAAACCAACCTGTTCCCCTCCTGGCCTGTGGGGGCGCTGCACCAAGAAACACTGAAGGAAACAAAGCAAAAACCTCTGAAGAAGACACTCTTCCTTCTTCACCAGACGTAAACTAAAATAGAGGCGTCAGATTTTAGCGGGTGGAGGATTTCTCTTTAGTCTTTGGTGATAAACCATGAGCCATTTCTGCTGCTAGCGTTAGCATTGTGCCTTTGCTTTGGTTGTATTTACCCAGAATGCCCTGCACTGTAGTCCACTTCCTGCTTTTGGAGCAGTTACCATTATAATGTACATATTATGGATTTATTGCTTTGATTAAAAACTAATATTCAGGTAATTATGTGCATTCTCGTTGAAATAATTGTTGGCAGTAACTTCCTCCTCTGTTTGCCTTTATTCTTATAAGTTTGGATTGTAATTTTCCAGTCAGGCTTAATTTTTTATTTTTATTTTTATCTTTTGGGAAATGTCGAGAATAACCGAGAGACTTTTTCAATATTTAGTGTAAAAAAACTTTCTTTTTAAAATTTTTCCAAGCATATTTTATGATTTTCTTTCACCTGATGTTAGCTTAAAAACACTTTTCAGTTCTCCTTTAATTAATAATTACATGTTTTCTTTCATCTGTTGAGCTTCTGTCAGCCTTAAATAAAAAAATTAAGTTTTCTGGAGTTTGGATTGATGTAACCAAGCCGCAAACCTTAAAGTTTCTGTAGTTAACAGCACAATCAAAGTGATTTAATAGGCGTTTAATTTGATGCCAATAAACAATGATTAGTTTCATCACAGACATGTCGAAATGTATAAATCTAACGGTTAATTTTTTGGTTCGCTCGAGCTGAATCTGAAACAAGCTGTGATTAACCAGCTCGGATCAGCTAATCAGGACCGACCAAAACAAACCGAATCAGTGCGAGCAAACCTCATTACCAAAATCTAAATTGGCCCTGTTAATTGGACGGCCTCCACTCCCTCCTCTGCTGCTTCGGCAACTTTAACGCTGCCGTCGTTTCCCTGAACGTCGTGAATATTCAAAGAGACGTGAAGTTTGATTAGTTTGCTTTGGTGAGATCGATTGTTGCATCTGTCAGAGTAAGAAAATCTGTGTCTCTGTGCTAAATTATGCTAATTATACATCAACAGTGCAGCGGAGCAGCTGTGAGGAGAAATCAGGAAACAAAATCACTTTAAAAGTTTAAACATGTAGTTTGTCATGGATCCTCCAGATTTTACGACTCTGTAAAACTTAAAACCGTTTGGATAAATAAAATAAACCAGAACATCGTAACATGAACACAACAGACAGGTTTTCCTTCCTACTTTTAGTTTTATAAAGTTCAGCTTGAGTATTCTCACCATGTTTCACCAGTTTGCAGGAACCCGGGTCAGAACAAATCAGATATGATCTCAACATCTCCACTGGGTCAGAACCAGAAACGACAACCTGAAACATTCTCATTGGAGCAGATTGTTTTCTCAGTGAAGATATTTTAACACCAACTGATCCGTTAAAACATCAGAGTTGAATTATAATCTCACTCCGCTCATGAACCATCAGCGCCGGCGTTCCCCAGGGTGGCGTTCCCGGCCCGCTCATCTTCTCCCTGCAGGCGATTCATCCGGTTCTGATCCAGACCAGACAGGCAGTTCTTCCCCAGACTGTCTGGGATCAACGGAGTGAAACATGCATCGTTGCTCTAATTCAACCTTATTGTCTTTAAAAAAAACACTTTGTACATATTTACAAAAAGGAAAAAACATTTTTGTGTGAACAAACTTTCATGAATTAAGTAGAGCTGGGACTTTAATGGGTTTATTTAGATTATTTAATTACATAGATTTTAGTGCGATAAAAATGACGCCTGGAACCTTAGTATTGTGTTTCTGGTACGCCTGTATATCTGACGCACAACTGACATCCAGTAACGACAAGATGTCGCTTGTTCGTTGGTGACAAACGTTATTCTGCCTCCTTTGTTCTGATGGGAGTTGACTTTGGCTTCTGATGGGACGCCGGAAAAGACGATAACTGTGTCCAAATTGTGCTAAAAGGAGTTAGCCTGTCAGCAAAGCTAATCAGATATTCTCAATGCTAACCATGTAGCAGCAACACAGATGCTAATGCTAATGTCAGCATTCACATTTCTAAAGAATGAATGAAGCTCTGAATGTCTGGATGACACTTTGCAAACTTACCAACAGTTTCTCAGCTAAAGGTGATAAAAGGCTTTATTTCATTTTTGGCACTTCTGGCGAAGACATTTAAAACCCATAAATGAATTTTTTATTGCAGGATCTCACGTTTCTGAAAAGGTCAGAACTACATTTGTTCAGTGATTTACTCTAATTCCTGTTTAAGTTGGGATTTATTTGTGTGAAAACTCCCCGTTCGCTGTAAAAGTTGACCTCAGTATATTTTAACTGGTTTTGTTCTGTGATTGCATAAAATGGTCAGATTTATGTGTTGGTAAGGAGGAAGCTGTGGTGTTGAATTATTTTATGCGGGTCTGAGCGATCTGGCGTCCAGTTTTCAGACGTTATTACCAGCGGGGGAATGATTTAGGAAATGCAGGCCGTGTAAAACTGCCTCCTCTGGAGCTCAAACAGGAAATCTGGACTTGGAACACGTTTAGTTGGTCTAAGATTTAAGTTCTGCGGACTCGAACCGGGTTTTCCGCGACACAGCGGGGGAACGAAAAGCTCGGCTGCAGCTCAGATCCGCAACACTTCCAGGTGAAAACTTGGTTTAAGGTTGCAGTAATGAAACCGCCTCCCGCCACCTGCAGGGACCAGCGCAGCGCCAAGGGAGCGCTCGTTTTCCCTCACCTTGAGTCCCACATGGGTGGAGTTCCTGTTTTCCAGCCCCAGCCTCATTAGTTTCTGTCTTTGTGCCTCTGGAGGTTTAAGAGTTCAACCTGCAGTTACAGTCAGAAACGCCGACGTTACGCCATCATACCTGCTGATGCGTCTGAGCTGAAGCCTGCAGAGGAACCTGCAGAACGGATTCCTGTCAGGTGTTTCATCAGGGACACGTCAGGGTTTCTGTGGAGTTTGACCTTTGACCTGTCCACAATGTGTGTACGGAATCCTTGAAAATCTGTCTATCTGTCCTGGCGAAGTTTAAGCGTTCCTGATTGATGACGGGTTTTATGTGTCTGCTGCTGTTTGCATCCGTTTCATTTTGTTTTATTTGTTTTATCTCCTGGAGTTTCCCCGCCTCCTCTGAGCGGTTCTGAGCGGCCGGCGCCGGCAGGAAGTGGGTCCAGCTGGTAGCCGCGTCTCCCTTCTGTAAACAGCAAATCGCTCTGATAAACGGCGCGCTCTGATTAATCGCTGCCTCTCGGGGAAACGCGCACAGCCAGCCGCTGATCAATTGTTTCCATGTGTGCAGTTTGGAGCTGTGCGCGCTGAACTCTGGGACGGATTAACCTGAACTCAGAAAGTTTTTTTTTTTTTTTTTTTTTTATCACCGCGCTTTCATGTCGTCTGCAGGCTCATGTTAGAAACATGAAGCTGCTGCAGACCTGAAATGTTTCAGTGTGTGTTTTTATTTTCAGGAAACGGTAAAGCATGAAAGCAGGAAGTCGGCGTTAGGGTTCTCGTTGCGTTACATCACGGGTTGTTTGGAGGGACTGAAAGTGATTGATTAAATAATCAGTTTCAGGTCTGACCGCTAATTATTCAGCTTGACCTTAAAATCAGCAAATTTAACTTGATGAATCTCAGGAAATCATCACAGATCATTCACGCTCTGCTAGTAAACTCAACTTTATCTTTTTCCCTTCTAGTGTACTTTTTTCGTTTTTCTTTAGTTTTCTTGTGACCTTTGTAATAAAAAAATGTAAAAGTGCACAGAAATTGTAATTTTTCTGTTATTTTTTTTCTGTTCTTCTGTCTTGATAGAAATATTTTACAAAAGAAAATTAAAAGAAACAAACTACGTTTCAGCTTTTTCTTTTCCTTATTCTTTCTTGTCCTTTTTAGAAGGAAAAAATGTAATATTGCAAATGCCATTTTATTTATTTTTCCTCTATTTTCCAGTTGACTTTTTTCCTTCTCTTTTTTTCTTGAGTCTTGTCAAAAAGACAAAAATGTCAAAAATAAATATTTAATACATTTCACTTTATTTTTCTCTATTTTTTTACATTTTTGAAAATGAGCCGTTTCAAAAACCTTCCTGTGTCATTGCCTAGCAACCCCAGCAGAGTTCCGCCTGTTACCTAGCAACCCCAGCAGAGTTCCGCCTGTTACCTAGCAACCCCAGCTGAGCTCCAAGATATTTTGGTCAGCTAGTTGTATGTGCTGTGCAATGGCTGCTGGAAAAGACAAAGTGTTTTCTAACCTTCCCATCCAGAAACCATTTGTTGTGTTCTTGCTGGCTGCACATGAGACTCTAAACTGCAAAAGCACAAAATCTTACAAAGTAATTTTGGATCCATGATAATTTACACGTTCCATTACTGTAAAAAACAAAAATCTGACTATTTTGTAAATATTTCATGCTCAATTTATTGTGGAGCTGGGAAAAAATTCTCTAGAAAAGTTTTTCATTTTAGTTTTTAAAGGATGTTTGTTTTTTTGGCTGGGGTCGACGATTTGCTACAGACAGTTTGGAGCCAACCGTAGACGTTTCCCAGCCCGTTGAAGGAAACGACGTAGATCTGTGGCCGAGCCGAGATTCGTTCGTCTGATGAACATGAACTGAAGGTCAAACGTCTGTTTTTCCGCTCAGGTTCTTCCGGGGCGACTACACGGTGGAGGTGGCGATCAACGACTACCTGGACATCTACTGCCCGCACTACGAGGCGCCGGAGCCGGCGGAGCGCATGGAGCACTACATCCTGTACATGGTGAACTACGACGGCTACATGAGCTGCAGCCACTACCGCAACGGCTTCAAGCGCTGGGAGTGCAACCGGCCGCAGAGCCCCAACGGGCCGCTCAAGTTCTCCGAGAAGTTCCAGCTCTTCACGCCCTTCAGCCTGGGCTTCGAGTTCAGGCCGGGACACGAGTACTACTACATCTGTGAGTACCTGAAGGTCACCGAAGGTCACATCGCAGCCGCAGGTCTGGACTTTGACTGGGCCGCTGAAAACCGTGGTTGGTTCTCTTTTGTTTAAGTGAGGAGTTTTTGGACGACTTTTTAATTTATTCTGGCCAGATTTTTATCTTGAAAATATTTTTTTTTTTTTTTTTTTAGCTTTTGTTGAGTTTTACTTTGTAGCAGCAGCGAGTTAATCGATTCATTTCTAGACTCTGATCTGCTGACAAGTTTCCTTCCTTTCTTGTTTCCTTCCCTCCCTCCTTGTTAGGAGGGGTGTACTTACTTTTCCACACAGTTTTCCCATCTTGGCTTCATCTTTAATGAAAGACAGTGTTTAACTTTTTATGAAATGTTTTGGTCCAGCAGGGTGTACTTTTTATTTTACTGGTACATTGGATTGACCAGAACCAGCTTTCAGTCGTTTTATATGCTGATTCATTTAGTCAATCATTTAATTATCCAAAACGAAGCCGTCATTTCCGTCTGAGCGCGGCGGGTTCACTGGATCGGGTCAGAACCGTCAGAAACTCGCTGGATGTCTGACGGTTCTGGACGCAATTTATCCTCCAAGCTGGAAAACATTTCCTAAATTTTCCTAAATAATTTTCCTAAATTGTCCCGTTTGGAGTGAAAGGCCTCCAGCAGAGACAGAAACGCCGCTTGCTTTAAATGACACTTAATGACTCTGAGTGTGTGTGTGTGTGTGTGTGTGTGTGTGTGTGTGTGTGTGTGTGTGTGTGTGTGTGTGTGCAGCAGAAATATGAATAAAACATCCTCTCTCTCTCTGCCTCTCTCTCTCGGAGTCAAACAGCAGAACAAAGAATCTGGAACTGCAGGTTTAATTCCAAACCTTTTTATAAATTCATTTATTCAGCTGGATTAAATTCGGCTCAGCGACCGGAAAACCAAATTATTCTGAGATCAGAAACCGCTGCTGTGGGGGGAAAGCACAGGGAGATGTGGGCTGAAACACACTGAGGCTGAAGCACGGCGGTGGAGGGGTGATGGGCCGGGATGCTTCCTTCTTTCCTTCTATATCCTTATTTGTTTTCATTCTTCCTTCCGTCTTTCTTCCTTCCCCCATTTTGTTTTCTCACATTTAAATTCTGTGCACTTTAAAAATCCACCATGAATTCATGATGAACTTTAATGTTTGTTTTGTTTTTGTTTTAAAATAACAAAACGACGTTTTCCTGTTTTAAACTGGTTTCCATTATGATGTGGAGGCCTTAAACTGGTTTCCTTTGTGTTTCCTCTGCAGCGTCTCCACATCCCAACCTGGCTGGGAAGCCGTGCCTGAAGCTGAAGATCTACGTCAAACCGAGCAGTGAGTCTCGTTTTAACCTTTAACTTCATGTTCAAAAGGTCCAGATCTGGTTCTGCAGGAGCTAAAAGGCTAAAACCAGCAACTCAGAAACAAAACCCACTTATTAAAAACGATTCATTTAGCACTTTATGCCCAACATCCTTTTATTATTCACATAATTTATAATAAAACAGTAATTTTATAAGAGATCTTAACCTAAACTTGACATTTTAATTAATTTTCATGCTTCAGCAAATATCTACGGAGCAAAACTGGGGCCAAAAATGTTAAAACTGAAAAAAAGATGTGAAAAAAGTTCAAAACTACTTATCAGATTTTTTTTCAGTTTCAAACTTTTTCAGTTTCATTTTGTTCTTTTGAACAAAATTTGTGGCCCCAATTTAGCTCCATAAACAGCTGCTACATTGACACACCAACTGAAATCAGACACACCTGTCTGCCTTCAACGATGTTTGGTCTCATATTTCTGAGATTAAAGTCAAAATTTTGAGGGAATAAAGTCAGAATTTTTATTTTTTGTTTGTAGTGGCTCTAATCTTCTTCCATAGACACCAAATTTGTTTTATTTTTGTAAATGTAGAGAGGCTGGTTGACCTTTAACCAGCCTATCTCTAGAAATATTTACTGATGTCTTTATGTGAATGATTATTTTATGTAACATGATACTTGTGACACACTGTCACAAATTAAAATTTTGACAACAATTTCGTTTAATTTGAAGACACTATTTCAACCAAACTGGGATGAAACCAGTTTGTACTGGGTCAGGTGTTCCAACTTTGCTCATAAAACTCATGAATAATAAAGAAGTGTCATCTGAAATGAAACCTTCCTCCTCGGCGTAAAGCGGCTGGTTTGAAGCTTCGCAGCTGAAGGCGATAAACTTCACAACGCTGATGGAAAAATACTCGTTCAAATATACAGACATTTTTATCATGATGGAAGTGAAATAATCTGCTGCTGTTTCATAAATATGAAGGAATTATTGACTTAATCTCCTATGTATTGCTGGAAAGTTATTTGTTTGTTTTGGTAAGATTTAGTGTTTTGTCAGTGCTAGCTAACTGAGAGGTTGAGCAGTCAAAGCCTTTCCTACATCTCCCAGAATGCTGTGCGGTTCTGGGTCAGAGTTCAGAGAATATTCTATATATTGAATATTCTATCGGACACCTATCGATATTTATTGCGTGTTTATCGCGATATATATTGTTATTGATTTGTTGTCCAGCCTTATTGTTTACTATATTTAACAGAAGAAAAGAAAAACTTCTGCTGGACTTTCTGGTGTCTGTGATCCTGACTAAACTGTAAAAATATCCCAGCTGAGTAAATCTAGAAATATATAAACAGAATCCATCGCAAAGGTTTCCAGAACCTTCAAATGTGGCAAAATGAACATAAAATCAAACCCAACAAAGATTTAAACTGGTTTCTCCACACTGGAGACATCTTGAAGCCGTTTCTACCAACCGAGGCTTTTCAGAGTATTGACTAAAATATCAGAACTTACCCCATATCGTTTTCACTTATTTACACGTGAAGAGGATTACTTGGGTTGTTACCAACATCTGGTGTGAATTTAGCCCGTTAGAAGCGTGTTTGTGTTAAATACTTGCTTCTCCTGCTGTAAAGAAACGTCCTCTCTCCTCCGCTGGACGTTGCTAATCTTATTCATGTGTATTTTTCACATCTCCACTTTGTGGGAGCAGATGACGGCTTTAAGACTCATTACTGTGACTTTCACCGGCTGGGCCTGTCAGTCACTCAGCTGCTTAACATACCCAACACCTCTGCAGTTCAGGAAACACACAGCTGCACCGACACACAGAGGAATGAAACGGCTCACATTGGCTACCTGACGGTACCAGGGCTCGGTTCTGCCTGACTCGGGTCATTTTTATAAAACGAATCAGAACCAGAACCAGTGACTAGAAAACATGAATGTCCAGTGAAAACAGGAAGCAGATACTGATAGAAAACACTGAGAAGTTAATGAGATCCAGCGGTCGGCACCGTTAGCTAAAACGCTAGCTGCGCTAACCCAATAGCACCAGTTATAAACATTAGGTCCACTAAAGCTAAAGCGCTGCATCAAAATAGCATTTAGCTCCTGCTAAAGCGCTAAATGTTGATACCCACCAGGTGTAGCACATCGCCTGGCTGCAGTATGATGGTGTTTCACATGCTGTCGCCAAATAACAGAGAAAAGACACAGGTCTGAAAATTATCACTAAGTTTTCAACAGAGGAAATGGAACTGCTGCATAAACAGACTTCAAAATAAGAGCATGAACATAAATGTTACACAACTTGAAGAATTTTAACAGTTAACCAAAACCTCAACAGACATCAAACTTTATTCAACTGAAAGTTTACAAAATTAGCGCAATAGAAGTTTAGCAGAAAGTTGGATAGTGTACCTTTAAGACTCTACAAAGCTAAGCAGGAAAGCAGATCTGGATAAACTTCATTCATAAACATGGACATCCATTATTTGTCAGTAATAATTGCACATTGTGAGCCCAGTTTAATAACAGTACAGCTGCTGCCAGGGGTTATTATCCTTACATATGAACTCAAACTCAATGTTTCACTTCTGCTCACCACCCGGCTGACGCCAGCTCACTTGTTGCTTCTCAAACTATCCTATCTGTTTTTCTGCACTTGGTTTGATCAAATTAATCGTCTATTTTTTATCGTCCTGATATGAAAACCGTAGAATTGGAAGAAAGAATGACTTCAACAGAAGCGTCTGGATGTTTCAGGACCTGATTTAAATTAGATTAAATTAATACCTGTCACAATATTGAACAAGATTCTATATTAGGTATCAATGACTGTTTCCAATCCATCTATTCAGCCTAATTCTATGACTTGTGGTTTATTTCAAATTCCTAATTTCAGTTTATGAACCATTTAAAAGGTTTGTTGTCATTTATATTTACACGTTTGACCAAGATTTTAAATTTATTGTTTTTGTCAGTTTCAATTTCTTTTTTATTTTTACATTGGCTGTTTTACTCCTGACTGAACAGATTAAAGTTGTTTTTACGTGTTTCACCAAGCTGGTGAAGCTATTTGTTGTATTTTTCTGTACTGGTGCAGAGTTATGAGTAAATGTAAAACTTTATTTAAAAAAGAAGCGTTTCAAGTCATTTCAGCTCTGATTTTCTGTATCGTATCAGCCGATACTGACCCTCAGATATCGGTATCAGAAGTGCAGACGGTGCGTCATTAATTTAGATGTTTGTGTGGCGTCTCTTTCAGACGACTCCATCTATGAATCTCCAGAGCCCTTCCTGACGGACGACACCACCGGCGGCGGCAGCCTGGCTCTGCCGTCCGCCATGTTGCTCTCCCTCCTCCTCATCCTGCTCCTCGCCTCCTCGTAGCACCTCCTGCTCTCCCTCCTGCTGCTGCCGGGACAGATTTGGGAAGCGAGTGCAGCTCCTGCTCCCTGACCTCCGACCTTTTCCTGGACGTGGATGAGGAGTCGGAGACCGGCAGTGGGAGGAGCTGCGTCTGGAGTTTCTGACAACTTTTCTGTTAAAAAAGTAAAAACTCTGTTTCAGATCTGAACGCTGAGGCTCCACTGACCTCCATGTTCACAGCTGGCTGGATTTTATGCATTTCAGAAAACTCTTTAAAAAATCCATTCATTTTTTAAAATCTCATTTTGTTCATTTTCATGTTGATGCCAAAGTTTTGTACGTCTGTTCTATAAGCCCTGCTAAGGCCATACAAGTCGTTAATCACCTAAAACAAAATGCATTTTGAAACGTCGATGTGTTTGACTCTTTTCCATTAAAACTAACTAAATCTTGCAAAATCCTTAAAGGGGATCTATCATGTAAAATTCACATGTTGCACATTTTAATGCTTCCATTTGAGTCTCAACAATTTCTAGAAACAGTTTTAAGCGCTTAAAAAAAATCAGCCAGGAGTTTTGTGGTAATAAGTTCATGTTTTTTGTTGTCTAGATAATGAGCCGTTTCAAAAATCTCTGGAATATTGAGTTACGTTTGATGGGCATTTCGCCGTTACCTAGCAACCCCAGCTGAGTTATGCCCGTTACCTAGCAACCCAAATGGAGCTCCAGCTGGTTTTAGCGCTATACAATGGCTGCTGGAAAAGACAAAGTGTTTTGTTGTTGACTTCCCATTCAGAAACCACTTGATGCATTCTAGTTGGTTGTGCAGGAGGCTCCAGTTCTGCTTTTCAAAGATGTACGGTTGTATAATTTTGCAGTCATTATCACAAGCGAGTGTAAACGTTCAGTTGGGGGCGTGGCCAGCAGCAGCTTATTTGGACTTAAAAAGACAAGATGCCCTAAAACAGCTAAAATTTCATCATCTAAGAATGATTTTGTTCAGAAAATGTAAAGAACATATTTTGTTTTATCCATAGATCTGTCCCAACCTGTTCAAGGAAGCCGACTAGGTCACCTGTAATGAGAAAGTCAGACTTTCTCCAACTGGTCTGTGTTTTTTAAACAGAAACTTCATTTACTGAACCTGAAGGAAAATTTAACCAAATTTACATTTTCTATGCCGAAATCTCTCCCAAAATAATACTTTTGCTACACAAATAACTTAGTGCTGAATTATGTTTAAAAAATAATTTGTTTGGTTTTAATAAATTTATGAAGTAATAAAAAATAGATTTTTTTTAATCTATGCATGTTAATTTTCTGACACATCTAACAGCTAAAAACAGTTTAAAGGTTTCATTAGAGATTAGCAGTGCCATCTGGTGGCCACATTCGACACTGCAGCTTTAACAAACTGGATCCAGGTCTGGAAAACTTTCCCAAAATACTGAAGTTTCTCCTTGATACATGAAATCTTTTTGTTTTAATCTGCAATACTTAAAAATTACAGCAATAAGAGATAAATTGAAGCAATGTTTAAATAGGTAATGAGTAGTTCTTTAGATAAATGTGCTATTTTTGGATCCCTCATGAATAAACGGGGTTCAGTTCTGCCTGTGCAGCTTGGCGGTCAGTGGAGTCCAGCGTCAGCCTGAGAAACCCATCAGAGACTGAAACCGTCTCCAGCTCTCATCACTGGGAACTTCATCCGGTCTGCGTGAACAGGGAAAGGCTCGACCCACAGACGGCCATGTTCCAATCACTGATGATTGCAGTCGCAGCGAGACATGGTTTCCACCGGCAACAAAATCAATGCAAAAACCACAAAGTTATTCAAATATTAACAAAACCACAAAGTTATTAAAATATTCATGAGTCACATCGGTCAGCCATAACGGGCTGAAAGGTGTGTTGCTCTCAGTAACTGTGTTTTCTTTACAAATGTCAGCAAAATGTCGATATTCTGCTAACATTGACAAATTACAATTTCAAAATTTTATTAAATGGACACTTCCTGTCATCCTCTTTGTCGTTTCAGCCAGTAGTAACATCCTGTTGTTGATCATGTGGCTCGAGTGATTAGAAAAAGTGTTTCCTTTGCAGTTTTTTGAACCAACCTCACCTTGGCGCAAAAAACTTTTTATCAAAAAACGGGAGTTTTTTTAGAAATTGGTGTTTCCAATTAAGCAAATAAATTTCCTTAATTCCAATTTGCACAATTTTAAGGTCAGTAGAAACAATACCTGCGTTTCCACTACAAATGTCAGCAAAACATCGATGTTCTGCTAATGCTGACAAAACCATAGTTTGAAATTGTGGTGGACACTTCCTGTTGTCTTTTGTCATTTCCTCCAGTAGTAAAACCCAGTTGTTGATCATGTGACTCTCATGATTTCCATTGCAGTTTTGTGATGGTTCTGGTTGAGATGCATCTAAACTTCCTCAGACTTGGTGAACTGTTTGTGGACGTCGTGGCTCGGCTCTGACTGTGATCTTCATCGTTAATAATCGGAGTGTAAACCGTCCAGCCCTGCAGCAGCCAGCGCCCTTCCCAGTCGACGGCCTTTCCTTCCTGAAAACCTGCCAAAGACTTGCTAAACTTTTTTATTGGATGCTTCTTTGGAGTCGGGTTTGGGCTGCGCCGCCAGCGGCTGGCGGATGATTTAAAGAGGCGGAGCTTCCTTCTTATTTTCTAAATTTTGTCATTTTGTTGTAAATAAAAAGTAAAACCGAATGTCCTGCGAAAAATACAAATGTACAAATATATAAATGGCCTTTTTCTCCCCCCCGGTCCCCCCTCCCCCACTGGTGCTGAATTTTTAATGACTGCGAAACAGCGCCACCTTGTGGTGACGCCTTTCATCAGAAAAACCCCAAACTTTGTGTTGTCTTCATCACCTCATGACGTCCTTCCATCCCCGATGGAGGGAGGTGTGTCCTTGTGAGCGGAGGAGCCAGGGGCATGCTGGGAAATGCAGTATCTCAAACGGCGGCACTGTGACGGAGGACGGGCGAAAACGTTTTGAAAACAAACGTTTCCTTTCTGCCATGTAGTTTTGAAACCCAGGAGATTACTCATATATGATGTAAAGTCTGATGTTTGTTGTCGTTTTATTTCCTGTTTGGTTCCTGCCTGAATCACGATGCATTCTGGTCGCTGTCGTCCTGTGAGTTCTGGTTCTGTTGCTGGTTCTGGTTCAGTGGGTTCTTTCGCCATGTTAACGTTGATTTCTGTGTGAATGAATTTAGTTTTTTTGTGGCACTAAACGTAAAAGAAGAGAAATAGTTACAGAAAATAAAGCTAAGTGTATTCAAGAAGGAAATGTTTTTCTACATCAAAATGTCTCCATATTCTATTCTTTCAAAGACAAAAAAAAATCTGTTTTTTTTATATTTTCTTATTGGATGCTTATAAAGTAATGTTGTAAAGTTAAAGCATTTATCTGATTGGCTCCAGAGAGGTCAGAGGTCACAGGCCTCCTTGTGTTAGCCTGCGCTGCATGAGCAGGAGAAATAAATTATATTTCAGAGAGAAAGTGTTACAATATGAACCTGTGTTTGATAAAAAGTCACTGCTAATAAAAAGATTTAAGTTCCACTCAAAAAGCTTCGTCTGAATTATTTTGTATTTAAGTTGAAATAGAAAAAAATAAAGTGGGCAGAAACTGATTTATAATTAATATGTTGACATTGAAATTAGTTACAGCAAAGTATGAAAATATTTTAATTTTTAACACTAAAGGGAGATTTTTTTAAATGTTAGACTAATGACTTGTGCTAATTTAAAAAAAAGGGTTGTTGTTGTTTTAAGTCCAAACTTCCTTTAAATGTTCTTGGTTATTACAACAATAAATATTTTCTCATCAAAACACCTGAGAGACAACTTTTAGATTGTAAATAGTTATTTTCCTTTTTTTTCTTTCTTTTTTTTTTAATAAAATTTGCAAAGAATAAAATAAATTTTAAAAGAACTTTAAAATTGCTATGCAAATATTTGAATCTAAAACAGTTTATACATGTGTATTAAAATATTTTTAGGAAACAAAATGTTCATAAATGTGAATTAAAGGCTTGGAAGGCTAAAAGAATAGAAATATGAATAAAGGAATATTTTTAGGCAAAACAAAGTTTATAAATATTAATTAATGAAATATTTTAAATTTTAAAAGTTTATGAATGAACAAAATATTTGATGATAAAAAAGGTTAAAAAAATTACTTTGTTAATTTTAAAATGAGTTAAAAAGACAAACTGAACACAAATTAACAGAGAGAAGCTCAGTTTGAACATTAAATTTAACATTTAGACCGAAATAACAAAAGCAGCTGCTGTAGAAGTTCAGAGAGAAACTAAATCAATTTGACTCAAAGGAACAGGAAGTTTTTCCTCTGAACTCATCACTGACATGTGGAGTCGTGTCACATCTGCAGATCTTCCTCCAGAGTTTCCCGCGCTGCTGCTGCGAATCAGCCAGACACAGAGAGACCCGAACACTGAGCGAGAGGCGGGAAGGTGGCAGCGGTCCAGCGCGCCGCAGTTCAGCCATATTGTCATCATTATCTCATTATGAGGTCAGCCAGAGCGCCTGGAGGCCAGCTGAGCTTGGCACAGCGCCCAGGAAACGCGCCGCCGTCGGCCAATCAGAGCGCAGAACACTCACACTAGAAGTAATCGAGTACTTTTACTTTCAGCTCCAACACAAAGTATTCAGATACATGTTTTTAAACCTCTAATTGATTTTATTCTGCAGATTGTGAAGATTTTCAGGCTCAGATTCAGCAAAGAGCTTCAGAAATGACTCAAAAACATAAATAAGGATTTTTTTTTCATAGACTGCACTGCAAAAACAAAAACTAACCAGAACATTTTTATCTGCTTTTTAGTGCAAATTCTTTATTGAACTTCAAATAAGACAAAACTAACTTACAAGTACATTTTTACAAAGATATCGGGGCTAATTTTAAGTTAATAATTCCCTAATACTGATGAAAAAGTTCTACAGATTATTTCACTTACAGCATGGAAAAAATATATTGTTATAAGTGAAATAATCTGTTGTACTCTTTCATCAATATTAAGAAATAAATGATGCAGAAAAGTTACTTATAAGTTAATTTGGTCTTATTTCCAGTGTAAAAGTATTTGCACTAAAAAGCTACAGAACTTTGAATACAGAATTTTGTGTTTTTGCAGTGTAGTCTTATTTTTTTATGAAAAAGCAGAAAATATTGATACTATAATGTCCAGAAAACATTATAAAGACCTCCTGAGAAGCAGCAGCAGCACAAATTCACACAGTCTGTGGCTTTAGTTGCTAAATAATTTATAGTTTAAATGAAAATTTATGACCAGAAATGAATTTTTTCTCCAGCTGAATTTCCTCTGGAGGAGCAAAACTGTGTCGACAGGAAGTCTGAAAATCTGTTCATTTTGTGATGTTAAAATATTCAGACTAATATGAATTAATCTGGATCTAATCTAAAATAAAATAATCACTCAGCTAAAGTGCTGAGACTAAAGATTAGACGTCTCCAGTAGAAAAGTCCAATTATTCTGGTTCCTCAGATTCTTCACTTTAAATGTCTGAAGATTTTCCACTAAAAAATTTATGGTTGCAACTAATGATTATGTTAGTAATCGATTGTTCTGGTGATTAATCAGATAAAAAGTAGGCAACATTTTTTATTTAAGCAATATCAAAATATTTTAAAAGATGCAAATAAAACAATTCATTTTCTTTTTTAAATAAGAAAATTAACTATTTTTTTTGCCTAAAATACAATAACATGCATTTAGTGAGTCTGAACCGGGTTTTTGTGAAAACATAATTACAAAGTTTTTTTTTATCTTAAATGCAAAATATCTATATTTTTGTGTTATTCTTTCAGTAAATTGCCTTTTTTGAGTATACACCAGCTAGCGATTATGGATTACTAAATTATTTGACTATTTAATAACTGATTCATAATAATTAATCGTTTCAGTCTTATTATCAGTAGAATATTAGCTAAATATTTTTGTCAATTTACTTGTTTTAAGCTGTTTGTCTTCATCATGTAAACCAATAAATTTAGCATTTTTGTCTTTTATCCTGATTTTCCATCATTCATTGAATCTTTCAACAACAACAAAAGTTTACTCACACAGTCTTGGAAGCAGCAGGAAGTTGATCTTCTCGCCTTCCTGTTTGTTTTATGACCCGTCATGGTTAGAATAATGCTGAGTCAGCCTCTGAAGAAAACAATAAAATTAAACTGATTTGATTCAAACCGGCTCTATCAGGGCTCAGCAGAAGCGAACAGATTCCGGTCTGCGTGTCAGACGCTTCCAGGCGATTCTTAAAGTTACGCTGCCACCTGCTGGTTGGAATGGATCACTACAACTCAACACTGCAGCGTCACGGAGGGAGAAAATTAGAAAATCGTGGAAAAAAAACGATATTTTGTGCCACCTCTTTCAAAAGATTTCTAACCTTTTACTGAAAAAACAAACAAACAAAACAAAACAAAACTTACAGAATATTCTTGTTTAGTTTCTAATGAAAATGTTTTAGTTCTGTTAAATAAGACAAAAATAACTTACAAGTGATTTTCCAGTGATATTAATAAGTCTGGATAAGTCAATAATTCTTGAATAGAGATACAAAAAGTATTATAAAAAATATTTGAATCAAAAGCGATTGAAACTAAAAAGTTTTGAAACTTTAAAAAAACTTGAAACTGAAAGAAAGATTTGAAAAAAAATATTTTGAAACTGATAAAAAGTTTGAAACTGAATAAAAAAAATTAATTGAAAAACATTGAATCTGAAAAAAAAAACAGCTTTGAACATTTTTCTTCTTCACATCAATTTTTCAGGTTCAAATCCTTTTATTAGTTAAACGTTTCTTTTTCAGCTTCACAACGTTTTTAAGTGTCATTGTTTTTCTTTTTTTTCTTTTCTTTTTTTATGTCTCTAATTTAGCTCCGTAGCTCTCCTCCTCCATGTCGCCATGTGGAGGCGCGGCCAGCAGGTGGCGCCACCTGAACAGCGGTTGGTTTGCAGGCTGCAGTTTCTCAAAGATGTTTTCCCCAATTCTGGTAAGAAAATCAAGTACAAAAAAAAGTAAATTCTGGGGGGGAAATGGTCAAAATTATGAGATGAAAGTCATAATTCTGAGAAAAACGTCAGACTGAAGTGACTTTTTAAAGTGACCCTAATCTTGCTCCGTAGGTTTCAGATCATTTTTCAGGGTATTGATTATTAATTTCAGGCTAAATCCAAAATTGATTTTAAATACCTGATCAAAGTGCTCATAAATGGCAGAATTTAGCCTGGACTGATTAATAACTGATCAGCAAGTAGCCTGTGATTTTCAGAGTGGAGGCCGCCAGGGGGCGCTGTGCCGGGCTCAGAGAGCTCTGAAGAAGATTAGAAAATAGATGCAAAAATAACATAAAAACAAATCCCATATATTTTTCAATCTTAAAATTTTCATTATGATGTTTGTTTCCTGTTTTTCAATCACTTAAAATATAAAATGTGTTAAAATAATTGAGTTAAATGTTATTTCTGATTAGCGTCCAGTTAAATTCAACTTTGCTTCTGAAACTAGAAATGTAAAAGCTTTGGATAAAAAATAACAAACAAACAAACAAACAAAAAAAATAACCAAAAGAACTTTGGGAATAAAATATTTAATGTGATTAACATAAAATATTACATATTTTTATATAATCAAAAAACAGGGTTCAAATGAAAAATAAAATTTTTTTTGGTAAAAAAAAAAAAGTCATAATAAAATCTGATATTAACATTTTCCACCATAGAAGTCAGGAGGTTAGCATTGATGCTAAATTAATGTAATAATTACTGAATTGTTTAGTAACTGGTTACATTGACTCAGTTACATTTACTTGTGTAACATTTTTGAAAAAAAATATACTTTTAGAAGTATTTTTACTACTCTGTACTTTTTACTTTAGTAATTTTATTGTGAAGTATTTTTACTCTTACTTGAGTCAAATCTCTGTATTTTCTTCCCACTGAATGAAAAACAAACTTGTTTTAACCAAAACTTCACCAGACTCAGACACACCTGTTAAAGTTTTTTTTTTTTTATAAAATTAACTTGAAATTTTTTTTTTTACATCTGATGATGTAAATTTTAAATATTAATTGATAATTTGATCAGTTGTACTTGAGTAAACTTTTTACCAAAAAACATTTTTACTTTGAGTAAAAATATGTTGAAGTAGAGCTACTGTTACTTTAACTGACAGGAACTCTGCGCTCATCTGACTATGAGACCATTTCTTCTTGTAAACAATAATTTAATGTAAAATATGGATCCTTGCAGCAATGAGGGCAGTGTATCTGCTCTCATTGAGCAAATAAACACTTGTGACCTTTGACCCGTGTAGAGAGAGGAGGAGGGGGGGGGGGGGCACGACATGCAGGAGGTCGTGACGGAGTACGGAGAGGTCTGCAGAGGGGTGGGGGGTCTGCAGGTCCCAGGGGTGCTGCTTCCGGCCGGCGGGGGCTGTCAGAGTTTTTACCCCTGATGAAGCCGCCATTACCGGCGTGGAAACGACGCCAGCCCCCCCAGGGGACGCGCAGGGGGTCCGTGGGTCTCCATAAAAACACGCAGAGACGAACCGGGAGCTTCAGATGAGGCCGGACTTTCTGCGGATCCTCCACGAGACAGAAATGCTGCGCGAGACCAGGTGAGAAAAACAAAACCAAAAAAACAAACAAAAAAACCCCCCCCACGAAAAACAACTTCTCCTCTGGAAATAATATGATTTAATATTTAACGCAACCTGTGACTTTCAGTTTCATCTTTGGTTCTTGTAACATTTCTTTCATGATGATTCTGATAAATGTGTTTTTTATTTTGCAGAGATCCGGGTTCCTGCGTCCCGGTGAAGCAGAGAGGAAGTCCGGATGAGACGAGCCCGAGTGATGGTGAGTTCACGGACATCCGTTTATTTTATTCTGTCCTTTGAGATTAAATTTAGCTTGAAAACGAAACTGTTCATCAGAAACAAAGAACATGTACGACCTCCTTAATATTTTATTATTATTATTACTAATAATTATCGCCTCCTGCTCTCCATATTTTGGCTATTCTACAGTTTTCTTGTTTCTTATATTTTAGTAGAAAAGCATTTTTTTTCCCCATTAAAAACTTAAACATGTAATTTATTGATGTCATGTGAATGAATCCATCATTATTTTCCCGTATGTCCTGAAACGTCTTTTGGATCTTTTCGGGGGATATATATATATATATATATATATATATATATATATATATATATATATATATATATATATATATATATATATATGTTTCATTAAATTTTGGACTTGATTTCTGCTTCATTCAGCAGATTGCTTTTTTGAGTCAGTTTACTCCAGTTGTTGATTAACTGATTTCTAAATTAATTGACGATTACTTCAATCATCGATTAATCACGCTTAATCATTTCAGCTTGATTAAATGTATATATTTTCTCTGTTTTTATGGCCACCTTTTTTACTCCCCTTCTCTGAGAATGAAAGTGTTCTGGGCTCCTCTGGACTCATCCTCTTTTATGCCCCAGGGTCGCGACCCCTGGGCGTCCGCCGGGTCTTCACCAACAGTCGGGAGCGCCGGCGGCAGCAGAACGTCAACGGGGCGTTCGCCGAGCTGCGGCGCCTCATTCCCACTCACCCCCCCGACAGGAAGCTGAGCAAGAACGACATCCTGCGCCTCGCGCTGCGCTACATCCACTTCCTGGACCGGCTGCTGGTGGACCAGGAGGACGGCGGCCTGCAGGGGGCGCCCTCCCCCCGCTGGGCCCAGAGCTGAGAGGACGGAGACTCTGACGGCGTGTTGGAGCAGCAGCGCTACCTGCACCGCTACCAGGTGCAGCTGAGCAGCCAATCAGAACCCACCGACGGCCGAACCCTTCCCAGACTGGAAGCTGAACTGGAAACCAGTTCTGGTGTTTGGTTTTTATGTTAAAGACTTCTGGCTCGGTGCAAATATTAATGTCAAAACCTGCGTTTCCATTTGAAATGTGCACAAAACTTTGTCGATATTCCTCTAATGTAGGAAAAATAACATTTCAACATTAGCAACATTTCGCTAATGTCGAAATAACGAAATTTTGCAATTCCAGTGGAAATAAGGAATGCAATTAGAATCACATGTGGATAAGTTAGTTCACGCAGGAAGCTGCACCATCGTCCACTTCCTGCCGGCTTTGTTGTTTCCTCCAGTAGTAACTTCCTGTTGTTGGTCATGTGACTCGTCTGATGCAGAAAAAAAGTGTTTCTGTTGTTGTTTTGTGAAATGAAACAATTTTTAGACGGACAAAAAAAACCACATAAAAAACGTGAGTTTTTTCTAAATGTGTTTGATTTAAGTTAATTTATTTAAGAAACGTTGTTGCGTAACAACGTTGTCAATGGAAACGCAGTGATGTTTGCAGATTGTTCCTGAATATTACAGTTATTCTAAAAGTGATGAAGATGACGATCATCATCAGCATCATCGACGTTTTGTTTCAGAGAAACATTCCTTAAGAAGTGACTCTATGTGATATTCACATCTACACTGCAAAAACACAAAATCCAACTAAGTAATTTTAGTCCATTTTCTGGTCCAAATATCTCAGTCACTTAAAATAAGATAGAAAATTGACATAGAAGCAACTTAAAGACGATATAAGAGCTTTTTTAAAGTAAATAATTACTTATATCGATTAAAAAATTCTACTGGCAGATTATTTCACTTACATTGGAAAAATGTTTAAAGTGAAATACTGTCAATGTAACTTGAACTGTTTCGTCAACAATAAGGATTTATTTACGTAAAACCATCAATAACATTTGGCTGACAAATGACTTGTAAGTTAGTTTTAAGTTACTGAGATATTTTCATTATAACCCGACCAAAACTACTCTGTGGGACTTTGTGTTTTTACAGTGTCTTTGTTGTTTCAGTAGAAAATTTGTGTTTTCATGTTGAGGATGTGAAGTTCTGCTCAGGTTCAGTTTCCTTCATTTTAAAGGAACTTTTTTCTGCTTTTAAACTTTTAACTTCTGTATAAAACATGTTTCTTCTTTTGTTAGTTAGAAAAATCTGTTAAGATTTGATGCTTTTAATCTGTTTATATGAACACAAATAAAAATAAGTGATGGTTTCCAGTGGACAACATTATAGTAACTGTTTAATCTGCTTTTAATGTAACAAAACTAAATAATTCAGATTTTATTTCACTTATTTTAAAGGAACAATGCCTATGATTAATAGAATAGAATAGAAATATCCGTCATTGTTCAACAGAATTTTCAGGAGTTAAAGCAGCAAGTTAAAGTAAAAAGGAGCAAGAATATTCACAGAAAAACAACTTTTAGAAAAATAAGAATCAGACTGTAGACTTTGACACTTTTCAGTTTCTCTTCCCTTTAATCCGTAATAAAGAGGAAGAGGTCAAGGAGGACGGAGGATCAGAAAGTTGGGAAATGAATAGACGGACTGGTGCTAACGGCTGATAAGCATCTCAGCCAATCAGAGGGCCGGACAGTGGGAGGTCGATAACAGGCCCCAGAGGAGCGGAGGGGCGTGTTCCAATTAGCGGAGCGGCAGAGAGAGACGGTGTGATGCTAGCTGCTCCGCGGTTCCCACCTCCTGGAGAAAAGGCTCCAGCTTCAGACAGTCTGACGTAATTATACTTTAATCAAAGTCCTGAATGACCAGATTTACTGTTTGTGCTGCGTTTAGGGACCGCAGGATTCTGTTTTTAACGCAAAACGTGTGGAAATCAGTATGCAAGTTAAAGTAGCACTACTTCAAACTTTACTCAGATAAAAGTGAAAAAGTATTTAGTAAAAAGTTCTGAGTAACTGATCAAAACAATAATCATTTAATATTATAGAATTACATCATGAGAGGGACCAAAACACAAAGTTCTGACAATTATTTTGCATTTTTAATTGACATAAATAACAATTACAAAATAATAAAATCAAGTAAAATAAATATTTTTCTGGTTATTTCTTTCAAGACTTATGAAACTTTAATAAAAACTGCAACTCTTTGTCTCAAAACTGGCAAATTTAAACTGCAAACCACAAATTTCATTAAATTAAAAATGTAAAATGAGTTAATTGTGATTTTTTTTGCTTTGTTTTTTTGATCTGCTTGATAAAATTTTTTTTAATGAATTCTATAAATGTTTAAAAATATAAACATAAAAAGGCTTTGAGGTGTTTCTGTTTCCTCATTAAAAGAAGAACAGACAAATTCAAAGTTTGAGGTCATCAGTTGTTTTCATTGGTTTGAGGTCAGGGGCCGATCCAAATCATTCATGAGCCACAAATGGCCCTCGGGCCACACTTTGAACACCCCTGGGGACGAGTATCCAGAAATTTTACTCAAGTAACAAATACGTAATAATAAAGTTGCTTAAGTAAAACATAAAGTATATTAAAAAAATACTCCTGCAGGTATTTTTTTCCCAAAAAGAAAAATAATTAGTTAAATTCTTTTGTAATTTATTGACGCTTTCATTGAACAAACGGGAGATAATGGTAAAACTACCAATCCAGATAGTAAGAAGAGTTTTAATCTGAATTTATCATGTCAAATATAAATTAAAATGTATCCCAATAAATGATAAGTTCTAACTTCCTCCAGCTGCTGGATCATGGGGTGTACTTACTTCTTCTGTCACAGTGACTGAGACGCCCCTCAGCTCCTCTGGGATCCTTCGTCTCCTTATCGTCTCTCTGCGTCGCCTCAGATGTTTATCAGCCGCCATCGGCACGCCCACTCATCACCAGCTAGTTACCAGGCCCTGTCTGTGTGTGTGTGTGTGTGTGTGTGTGTGTGTGTGTGTTCCTCACTGTGGGAAAACACTTTGCTGCCTCTCACACCGCAGCATCCAGTCATGGTGACAAATGGATGCATTCATGTGGAAATGATCACCTTCCTCAGGTTTATGGATCTGCCAACTAAAACAGTGTCTGACCTCAGCAACATGGCGGCTGTTCCTGGACAAGAACATAGAAAAGATGTTAATTATCACAGAGCACTGCAGGTTTATGTACTCAGTTTAATTTGATCATAAAAAAGCAAAAAAAAAATTATTTTTTTACTTTTTACATATCTTATTAGATTTTATCCATTTAAAATATTTTTTCAAACCTCTAATGGAAATTTGAAATACAAAATAAAATACTTATGGTTTCCTGACAAATTATATATATATATATATATATATATATATATATATATATATATATATATATATATATATGTGTGTGTGTGTGTAAAATATTACCATTGTACAATGGTAATATTGTACAATACTACCATAGTATTTTACAATACTATGGTAGTATTGTAAATATACAATACAATACTACCATATATTTTTACTTAAATGTATCAAACATTAATATGTTTGATACATATGTTTGATAATGTATCAAACATTGATATGATTCAACAAATTTTTATTTGGAAATTTTTTAAACTGCTTGCACTTTTATAAAAACTGAAAATATGTTTTTTTAATTAAATTTGACCAATTTAAAATAATTTTAAAAATCTAATAAATGAAAAGTACAAAAAACATTGTAAAACACAATATAAAATATTCTCTGAAAGTGAAATTTGTTGCAGTGAGTAAATGTTTTAAGCTTTTATTTACTACAGTTCATTTTTATTTGAGTTCTTTAACTAGTTGCAATTTTACAGAAAAAATATAAAAGTTTACAAAATAAAAAAAACTGAAACTGAGAAAAACACAGAAAGCTGTAACCACATTTATTAATGTATTTTGTACTTTAAGTTTTTAAATTAAAATCGGCCTTGTTAGTATCAGCCGTTTTATTTTGCTGCAGTTTGTTGAGCGACTGGTGACACCTGCTGGAAATGTGGCGCAATTACATCACCGACCATAAACTCCGTTAATGACGTCAGCATATTTTAGGATCAAAATATCCAGAAATAAAAATAAATAAAACAAAGATAAAACAGACTTTTTGTGTTTTTAATACTCAAAGGCTGAAATATTTTTATTCAAAATGTTTCTAAACAACCAACAGCTGTTTTTACAAACATTAAAGGATACAAAAAATTTATACTTTGAAGATAATTTTTGAATATATTTGTCTAATTTATTTTTTAATAATGACAATATGGACATTCAATAACTATCATTAAAGTTCCTTAAAACTTTTGACTTATAAAATGAAATGAATTCCTCATTTAAAAAATATTTTAGTGTTTTCACATGTAATTTTAGTTTACATTTTAAGTGCAACAGTTTATATTTTTCATTATAATTACTTACAATTTTAAAAATCATCAGTTTGTGTTTTTCCTCTATTTCTGTAAAGTTTTCCTTTTTATTTTAACATGTTTATTAGTAAAAACGTGAAATTAAAAATGAGCAGAATAAGATGAAAAACAAGAACAAAATCCGATAACAATTACAAAGGAAACAAAAGTAAAAGTTGAAATATCTCAAATCAAAGAAGTGGTTGTTATTATTTTATTCAAAATTAGATAATTAGAAGCAACATTTTGAAAAAGTCAATAGAAATCAGACATTTATTCAAAGTCAGAAAATCAGCATCAATACAAACAGGTTTCCAAACACTGTGTGTGATCTGAGCAGCAAGGAGGGTTAAAGTCTACCAGGAGGGCAGGTCACCGCTGCCCCCTGCTGGCCCTCCGCCTCCCTGCAGGCAGCTCCCAGTAGTTAAAGCACAAAATCAAACCCAAACATACAACACAGGGAATCCACAATAACGTAAATGAAAATCCAGAGAAGAAGAAAAACATTTGGCCTCAGGAGGAAAAGCGTCCGCTCGCTCCAGGAAGCAGCGCTCCGAACATATTGATAAAATATTGATTATCCTGCTTCTCCGAGCAGCTGGGAGTTTTTGGTCTGTTCCCGTCCTCTTCCAGTTCGTCCTGGATCAATACGGTCAGGCGGCGGCGGCGGCTCTGATCCGTCCGACCCGGCGCAGCAGAACTCATCTGGACAACAGATAAGACCTGATCAACCTGAGGGCAAAGGTCAGCAGCTCCACTGATACACCGTGTGTGTATCAGTTTCCTGACCAGTCAGCTGGAAACACACTGACAGCTTTTAATCTTCAGAAAAATATTAGAACAAAAAATTTATTTCTTTTAAGACAAATCAGTGATACGAAAATAGAGAA